AGTTAAGCCTATAGCCTTACTTTTTTGGTGTTTTTTGGCCACTTATGAAAAATGGAAAAAGTCGCTAAAAATGGACGAAAAGTTAAGCCTTAGCCTTACTTTTTTGCAGTATTTTGGCCACTTATGAAAAATGGAAAAAAGTCGCTAGAAATGGACGAAAAGTTAAGCCTATAGCCTTACTTTTTTGCTGTTTTTTGCCTGTTTATTAAAAAAATGAATTTTGCTGTTTTTTGCCCACTTATGAAAAATGGAAAAAGTCGCTAAAAATGGATGAAAAGTTAAGCCTATAGCCTTACTTTTTTGGTGTTTTTTTGGCCACTTATGAAAAATGGAAAAAGTCGCTAAAAATGGATGAAAAGTTAAGCCTATAGCCTTATATTTTTGCTGTTTTTGGCCCATTTATGAAAAATGGAAAAAGTGGCTAAAAATGGACGAAAAGTTAAGGCTATTGCCTTATATTTTTGCTGTTTTTGGCCCATTTATGAAAAATGGAAAAAGTCGGGAAAATGGACGAAAAGTTAAGGCTATATAGCCTTACTTTTTTGCTGTTTTTTGCCCATTTATGAAAAATGGCAAAAGTGGCTGAAAATGGACGAAAAGTTAAGGCTATAGCCTTACTTTTGTGCTGTTTTTTGCCCACTACATTTCTTCTGATCTTCGTATTATATTTCTAAAGTCAGTTTTCGTCCCAAATATTTTGTAATCGCGGATTATAATCAACCACCCCCCCCCCCAATTAAGTCCGCGATGCGGGACGAAATCTATTTGTTGACGGTCCCCAAGTTAAATCCTTCGGGAAAGAAATTAATTGTAAATAACAAAATAGTCCTGAAATAATACTTTAGGGAGAAAGGATGCGGGCAGCGGAGCAGAAACTAAAGATTAACTTGTAGTGGCCTTAGCGGGCCAGCCCTGCTTATGGATAAACAGCCCCGTAGAAATGTTTCTTAAAATATTTGTAAATCCCCCCCCGACCTTTTTAACTCTCAAATAGTTCATTACACATTTATTGGTTAGGGAAGGGTTGGGGTCTGTTTATCCATACCTTTATATCTTACATATTCCGACTAAAGTGGTCAGTACAAATATAGCAAATCAAACTCGTCGTACTGTTCCAGTACTTCGTATTAATATATAACTAAATGAACTAATTATTAAAAAGTAAACTGACTAACCTTTAAACTGAAGAACTTGATTGGCTTGTACACATTGGTTTCTTTGTCATATAGTTCAATTTCTGTTGCTTGTAAATGTTTTATAAACCAGTACAGCGAAGTAGCGAAATTTCGGGCCGTCTTTCACAACAAATAACATCACAATAACTGCACCAGTTTTTTGCCCATTTATGAAAAATGGCAAAATTCGCTAAAAATGGACGAAAAGTCAAGCAAAAAGTTTAGCCACTTTTTCCATTTTTCATAAATGGGAAAAAAACAGCAAAAAAGTAAGGCGATAGCCTTACTTTTTTGCTGTTTTTTGCCCATTTATGAAAAATGGAAAAAGTGGCTAAAAATGGACGAAAAGTCAAGGCTATTATAGCCTTACTTTTTTGCTGTTTTTTGCCCATTTATGAAAAATGGAAAAAGTGGCTGAAAATGGACGAATAGTTAAGACTATGCATTCAAATTCCAACAATAGCCTGATGTCTAAAGGTCTTGTGCTTTATACACCTTATATAGAGCATTTGCACATGACGTCACAGCCCCATGTTGGTGTTCCAATTCAAAAGAATTTTAATTAGACTCTTTTTTCTGGAACACCAACATGGCCGCCATGGCTTTTGTTGAGTTGATCCCTGGGGAATGAGCGCAAACGCTCTATAGACGAGTAGTAGCTGAGATATATCAACTGTTATCCAATAGACTACTTTCATAATACAGATGGATTCAAAGTATTCTTTCTTGTGCATCTTAATAAGCTTTCTTGGCCTCATTCAGGTTTAAAAATTATACTTAATTTCTATTCAAATTCTTTTGAAATTAAGACGCTCAAAGTGTATTATGAAAGTAGTTTATTAAGAACCCCTCCCCCCCCCCTCCCCCAGTGGTGACGATGTAATTGACTAATAGGTGATGTGCAACCACTCCCATGGGATTCAAAGGACAAAGAAATTTTCGCCATGTTGTATGATATTTGTGTTGCAAACAAGCAAAATCCTTTGTCAATGTCATCCAACATGGCGACGGTGACGTAACTTGAATACCACCTATTGTCATATAGCCCCACCCTAGACCTGGGGCTTCCATATTTCACATGAAAAAGTTGGTACCCTGGGCTGGAGTGGCCCCTGATTCGTTTTCTCTTATGAACCACAACGATCTGTGGCCAATATTTACTTCACTGTGTTCAGACTTTACGGTACATAAATTCATTAATACAATTGCAAATTACAAAAAATATATACCTTGCATAATATGGTGTTTTCCTGAGCAACTACTTTATGCTAGATGATAAGTAGAAGGCGTCCTTCATTCCCATGTTTAGTGTTTCAGGATGGCACAGTGTCGCTTGTGGCTTGACAGGTCTTTGCATCTCAACTTGGTACACTGGACAGAATATGATGATGACGGGTTATCTTCCGTTTGGTTTTCCATCACTGTCAAGACTGTGGTGTACACTGGCTTACTAGTCTCTGGAACAGCATCAACATGTTGTAACTTGACACCTCAATGCGCTAGTAGCAATCTTCCAAATGTGGTACAAACTAATTCTGACGATGAATGTGATGGTTAGCAAATGAATCGGGTTAATTATAAAGTTCTACAACGCAGACTGGGTGGTTGTCTGCATTTGTCCTTCTTTTTGCTCCCGACTGCTTTGCGTCTCTTTAAGTCCTTTCGCTTCTGGGCCTTCCATTTGCCTTCAAATTAATCGGTCTTGAGGCAGTCTAAAAGAATTGGATTATGAATTTTTAGTTATAAAACATCAATGATGTCAAGAGACCAGTCATTATTTAGGGGGGGGGGTGACGCGAAGAAGAATTTTTTTTTGGTAAAACGTTTGCTAAACCAATAAAAAGTCGAATATTTTTTTAGCCAACTTCGAATATCAATCAAAAAATAAATACCCACTCCTGGCCAAAAACATTACAAAAGGATACCGTTCAAATTGTCATACATATATTGACCTATATTCTTTACCACTTATGTGGCACGAGTTTGATAAGTGCTTGTGCAATTTTGTACAGTCTAAAGTTTCATGTTGTCTGCACATGTACTTTCTTTGGAGGCACCATTTGCCTCCTGACAAATAGGAAAATGATCAAAATAGTGACTCCAAACATAGTGCTCCAAATGATTTCAAAATTTTACTGGCATACGACAGTTAACATTGCCTTTTAAGGCCATGTTACACTGTGCAATTTTTCTTGCAACTTGCAATGCAATTCTACTCTTAAGAGATGTTAATTAGTGAAATCAGTGAAGAATTTACGATATGTTCAGAAAACATCAGCGGAGTCACAGATGAGGTAAGTATTTACCTCATCTGTGGCGGAGTGCAATAGTGCATGTAATGAAGACTCGTACTTGGCAATTTTACATCTCTCAAGAGTAGAATTGCATTGCAAGTTGCAAGAAAAATTGCACCGTGTAACATGGCCTTTAGTCTTCAATATTTGAGCGAGTCATGCTTTGAAAATGACAATAAATTTTTATTACCTAGCTTATAGACCTTGAATAAAAGGTCTATGAGATATACTATATACCGAGCCAAGGATTCGAGCTCGGATTCGAGCTCGAAATCAAGCTCAGAATCGAGCTCGGAATCGAGCTCGGAATCGAGCTCGGGAATCGAGCTCGGAATTCGAGCTCGGAATCGAGCTCGGAATTCGAGCTCGGAATTCGAGCTCGGAATCTAAGTTTTATTATAGTCTAGGACCTGTATATGACTTTGTATGCGTTTCACTTAGCACAGGTAATCTCAACTGTTTTAGGGGAAAATGACCATGGCAGTCAACATGGCATATGTGCCAAAACCTGAATCCGGGACAAAATTCCTGAAAATGATCCCGCCCTGAAACGGCAGTGTCGACATAGCTGTAACTTCCGAAAAGGAAAAGCGATAGCCTTTCTGAAGTGTTATAGTGTTCAGAAGGGTTGCTTTTAGGGATGGTCAGTAGCCTGAAATGTCAGGCGTTCTCCCTGCTTGAACCTGACATTTCAGGCTAGGGTGGTCAGTGGAAGGAAAAATTTGTCTAAGTATAATATTTTACAAGAAAATGACCATGCACCACCCCCAGCCGGTAAATTGCTAATTATGCATAAATAACTAACGTGCCTGGCAGAAGTGAAATATTCCTATTTCCTAAAAACAAATATCATGAGGATTGTCATAAGGATTGTCATTGTTTTCTTTAAATATAATACATGATTTTGCCATCTTGTTTGCTTTTTATCACCAACTGAAATCTGGCAAATATCATTCAGTTGTTGCACTTTTACATAAGGCCACATAAAAAAAATAGTTGGTTAGCGTCCGCGCCCGCCCACAAAAAAGGCCCCGCTCAGGATTTTTTTTTATTTTTTATTTAAAAAAACCCGACTTTTATTGATCAACGGGCTCTAATATATGTAGTATTTCTGTTGACTGTGGTCAATTGTGTTAATAATTTTCGAAATTGCGTGCGAAAATGACGGTATGAATTATATTTTGAAATATATAAAAAAATATCTGTACTGCGCAAGAAAATCCAGTTTCGGACCTAACAGTGAGTAAAACCAAGGCGTTAAAAATTAGTAAAAATTTTAAAAAAAAGCGCCCGCCCGCCCACTTTTTGCAAAAGCTAAGGACGCTAACCAACTATTTTTTTTTATATGGCCTAACATGGTTGAAGAAGATTTCAAAGAAGGTTTCATCAGGTTTTGAAACAGTGCAGTGTAATTATCTTCGTTACTGTGCCCTTCGATATTTCGTGAAATACTGAAATATGGCGCCATTATAAATTGCAATGGCTCGCCGCTTCTCTGCCCGAATAAATGCCACTTATTCGTCTTGCTGTGTATTTAGACATTACAGTACCCAATAATACTTCATTGTAGAATAGTCCCAATCGAATCTCATAAAACTTGTTGAATATATTAACAATCCAAATTCGAAAAGAAGTATTATTAATTTAAAAGTCACGCGCAAGTATTAATACTCTAGTAAAACAATACAAACGCCGTCTTACCTTGTTAATTGTAACATATTTCATTGTAAAATCCCCATTAAAATGCATATTTTACAATTTATAGTCTGTTGAAATTGTCGTGAAACCATGTGAAACCATATAAAGTTTATAAACATTGTTTGATTTTTTATTCGTACTTCATGTAATTATAACATGAACACCAAATAAACCGTATACTCATTTCACATTCTCGCTGGCGGCTCGGCATTGTTCGTTAGCTTTTCGGAAAATACGAGTCTACAGTCCCTCCCTCTGGGTAATTCAAGGCAGAGTATAGCTCTCCCGAAAAGGTTTTTTATTTAAAAAAATTCCATACAATTTGCTTTAAAATGCAATTTTTTGACATGCTCTGTAACTTGGGGAAACTGCTCAAAAACACTTTTACTTCGCATTCTTCGACAGCAAAAGCGTGCAGCACGTATTATTCTAGTCGCTGACTTTTCTACTCCTTCTGTTCTTCTTTTTTCCCAGATTCGAATAATCCCAATCTTCGACCTTATCCCAGTGCTCCGTGATCATTTAAGCAAATGTTTAAATTCTTATCTTGTATTCGACAACGGGCTCTGACTAGAGCTTGCGCATATGACCTTCAACCCCCCTTCCCGCGTACTGACTCTGGCAAACGAACATTTCTGTACAGTGCTTCCATTCTTTTTAATTGCTTAGATAGCGATTGTAAGCAACTTGTGCTTCGCCATATCGCTCTTCATATACTAACGCCAAACAAAGAATTCCGCATAAAATCTTTCTTAACAAGCTTAACCTTACTATACAGGGCCGTAGCAACCGGGGGGGGCTGGGGGGCTGCAGCCCCCCCAATAATTTGCTAATAATCATTCTTTTTTCAAAATCATGCAAACTTTATCATTTAATCTGTGACAAACTGCAAAGAATGAAGATATTACTCATACTCCAGATCGTTCCTCGCGTAGAAATTTAGCTGAATTTCTGTCGCGCATTTTCAAGAAAATCCCACAAAATCTGCACATTTTTGATGAACTAATGATTTATTTTGTCTTTTGCGTGTTGGGTCTTGCGAAAGAAAACTCTGAAAATGCCATTTCAGACCATCTAGAGCAGTGGCGTAACTACTATGGGCTCAGACCGGGGGAACCCGGGGGCCCCCAACCCAAATGGGGGCCCCCAGGCTTAGGCGATAGAGCAAAAACATTGGCCAGGGTTTCTGATATGTTACAATGTCGTTTTATGACCATCAGAATTCTTTAAAATCTCTCCCCAAAGTCCAGGAAATGGCATTTCAGAGAGTCTAGATTAAATTTTTTTCCGGATGAGCATGCCCTGGACCCCCTAGAAAACTCGTGCATATACGGCGCTCGACTCGTGCCTTTGGCACTTCTACTAGGGGGGGGGCTTCGAAAATTTTGAACCGGGGGCCCCCTGATATAACGTTACGCCACTGATCTAGAGACTCCAGATTTTCGAAATTTTCTCAAATGTTCTGCCTTCATTTCCGCGCAACTGCCATTTACGACGAAAATTCCCGCCGCGCATTTATAATACTACAGTCTGGCCCATACTTTCCTGTAAATTTCGACATACTAAAACGCTGTTTTCTGACTATCAGAATTCTGTTAAATCTTCCCCCAAAGTCCAGGAAATGGCATTTTAGAGACTCTAAATTTAAAATTTCCTCGGGCCTTCGGCCCTCGCTTTCAGCCCCCCCAATCGAAAAGAGCTTCCTACGGCCCTGCTATAGAATCCAAGCTCGAATCCCGAGCTCGAATCCGAGCTCGAATCCGACCTCGATTCCGAGCTCGAATCCTTGGCTCGGTAAATAGGTATCCTCCTTGAATAAATGATTGGATTAAACTTGTAGATAAAACGCGAGAATTTTTCATTAAAAATTTTTGAAAATGACAAAATATGTTGGAAAACCTCCGCAACTGTGATATAAGTTAGTTATAAACCGAGGAGGAGGTTTATAACTGATATATTGCCCCTCGGACGCGTGTGAACCTGTCAACAAGTTTACTTTGACAATTTATTAGTAGCCAGCTGGCCAATCACATCAAATGCTCAGATTACTTTGACAAGTTTTCTTTGTTGAGCCATACAGACGAACAAAATTTGTACTTTGACAATTTTTTCTATGACAAGTACACAGGTACACTTGTCAAAAGCTAGAACAAGTGCACTTGTCATAGAAAAAATTGTCAAAGTTGCGCGTACAGACGAGCAAATGAAACTTGTCACATAAAAACTTGTCATAGAAAACCTGCTCGCGGCTTAAGGCCCTAAGGTTTAGTTTTTAGCGAAGGAGGAAAACTGGACTACCCGATGAAAAACCCTCGTCAACACAGAAGAGATGAGCCAACCAAAGTCTACTAACACAACTCGAGTTTCCATGCAAGTATATAAAAGTTTAAGTACAGCGCACTAACGCATCTGTCACTGTTAATACGATATATTCCCAGCCGATTTGAACGAGTGCGTTCATGCATTCAATCAGGACACGAGGCCATTTCATCTCTGAATTTCGTCCAAAAAATTCGATTAAAAAGCGAGCACAAACAAGAAATAAAAGTATGTAAATGCATGTGATATATGCTTACCGCGTGCTTCCAGTCTTCGATAGGTCGGCGACTCAAATCAGTTAAACATCGAGAACTTTCTCGTCGAATTTCTGCCCTGAAACAGCAGATAAAATAAATATGAATTAAGGGAGAAAATATGGGAGGAATACTACAAAATATGGGAGAAATACTAAGGAAATGAAACGACTAAACGACAGCGAACGGGAATTAGCAAACTATTAAAATACAATGAATTTATAACACGTGTTTTAAAACTCCGCTATAACTCGACAAAAACAACTCACAAACATTTAAAAGACCACTAAATCAAACACTAACCTGTTGCTCGGCATAGCATAACCATTCTATTTCGAAAAAGTTCCATAAAAGCGACGTTCTGGACTAATTTTAGTAGGTATTTTGCTAAACTCCAAGTCAGAACACACCCAGAAGCTCCGAGCAGAATTATGTTCAAACTTGCCACGCATTTGCATACCCACACCCTTGTTTCCTATTAGGCAAGTTTTCACGAGCTCTGATTGGTTTAGCTCAAAAAAGCTTGGTTACCATTGGCTGCTGCTAATAGAATCTATTGGTGTGAACTCCCTTGGGGGTTAAATACGGTCGCTCCAGGAATGTTTAATTAACTTAACTTGCTTCATTAAAATACAAATTCAATTGAAGTATAATTCGTTAATTGACATTTTTGAAGCAAGAATTTGATTATTTTCAAAAGAACTTGTTGATTTTAAGTCTGCGAATTGTTTTATAGTCTAGTTGCGCTATGATTTTTGCCCAAAAATTTCACCGGATTGATTGTTGTTCGAACAAAGAAATCTGTTCAAGAGAGACAAGTCAGCCAGGCTAGGCGAAATTTTGCAATTTCCACTTTATGGATACGATACATTGGCAAGTGCCCCACAGTGCTGTAGAAGGGGGGGGGGGCGCTTGGGGGCGGAGCCCCCTTCTTCAAGATCTGAGGGGGCTGAGCCCCCTTCTACCTTAGAAAATCGAAAATTTATTAAGAATACTATTAAACAAAACTGGACTACTTTTTCATGAAGTAGAATAATAATAATAATAATAGTTTTATTGATCCATCTTTAGTGTAAAAATACAATGGATTTACAGTAAAAATCTAAGTAGTAGTCTAGTAGTTATATGTACAGATAAAAATTGTAGGAATAGTTATTTTTATAACTATTCCTACAATTTTTATCTGTACATATAACTACTAGACTACTACTTAGATTTTTACTGTAAATCCATTGTATTTTTACACTAAAGATGGATCAATAAAACTATTATTATTATTATTCTACTTCATGAAAACGTAGTCCAGTTTTGTTTAATAGTATTCTTAATAAATTTCAAAATTACTAAAATGGCCGGCGTCCTTAATAAATCGATACCTTATCTTGTTTCAATGTTTCATATATTTATGCATTTATGCTCTGTATTTTCGAACAACCATGACGTTATTCGACGCATTTTTTTATGATTTCACGGCTTCACGCTCGTTAAGAGAGCCCCCCCCCCTCCCTCCCTCTGGTAAATGTAGTTCTACAGCACTGAGTTAGTGCTCTAAAGAGAGGCTGTCACCCCCCTGAAAATATATTGAAATTTAACGTTCCAAGGGGGTGAATGCCTCACTTTAGGGCACTTGCCGAGAACAAAGCTGCCAGATATGCGCGGTAAAACTACCTTCATTTTCTCGCGAAGTAAAACCTCTGTTTGGTTAGCTCTCTGTGCTATAAAACGTTTGCACATGACGTCACAACCGCCATGTTGGTGTTCCAATTCAAAATTAGACTCTTTTGTCTGGAACACCAACATGGCCGCAATGGCTTTTGTTGAGTTGGTCCCTAGGGAATGAGTGCAAACGCTCTATTGATCGACTGCACGTGACGTCACGGCAGTCATGTTAGTGGTATCCATTGATGGTGGTATCTCATTTTCATCCATCGAATTTGGCACCAAGATGGCCGCGGTTTTATTGTCTTTACATTTCCACTAGATTATAGTTACAGGGGCTCCCCGTTGCAATCGACCAGATTGAGTGGGAAATCTCTAGTAACTCCAGACGAAGGGCCGTCGCTCGAAACGTCGAAATTTTCCTTATCAGGGATGCCGGAAGTTGCTGAGGGCAAGGGGTGCAATTGGTTAACAAGAGGGCATACTCCTTAATAAAAGGGCACCAATGAAAATGAAAGGGCGTCATGATCCTACATTCGTGTCAACCTCCCTCCCCGTCACCAAATGTTTTCGGACCGAATACAATTATTTAGGCACAATTCCTCCGTAATTTCTCGCCAAAAATTCCATAAGTAATGCTTTCCGTTTCACCTTTCGCCAAATGGATAACAATTTTGCCGAATTCCTGACGACTGGGGGGGTGGAACACCCCCACACATCATCGAACGACGTTTAATTCTGTCTGTTGTAAAAGTTTCGTGCACCCGTTACACCCATGGTCTGCACCCACAAAGTTGAAAATGCAAAAGGCAAGGGGTGCACTTGCACCCGCTGCACCCGTGGTCCCGGCATCCCTGCTCCTTATACTTTTTCAGGTAGTCGCATCCCTACCAAACGAAAGCTTGTTTCACATTATTGGCACTACTTACACCGGCACAGGCAGTTCCCAATACCATAGCTGGTAATGAAAAACGCGTTCACATTAACTCAATGTCGAACAGATCATTATAAAATCACATTTACTCCTGCCAATATTTTTAAGCTTAGTAGCTACAGTTGTTGTTTAATGCAACCATTCAAATTCTTGTTTTCAATAGAAATTCTGCGCATGACACATGTGTTTTTGCACAAGTGTTTTACAACATCTTGGAGTAACATTAGTGAGGATAATTAACCTTTCTCGTGATCGATTTGTCCGCCATTTTTGGGGGTACTGCGTCGCCCACATTTGAGAGTCTCCGCAGCACGAAATACAACGTTTTAGTGTTGTTGTTGTTTGTATAATGGTAAATTTACAATTACAACTTTTAAAAGTCGCTTTTCACCTTTTCTGGAATTGTCTAGAATCTTTCACGAGGGCAGACAGTGCTCCAGAAATGGCGGATTTTGGCCTCCGTGAGAAAGGCCAATTCCATTGTGTTGTGACGTTAGGCAAAGATTATTGCCAGGGAAAAAGCAAACAGGAAGATTGCACAAAAAGAAAGAAATGGAATTGTTCAAAAAGTGAATTTATTGCAACATTTGCTTAATAATATACCCATACATTAACTAATAACCACCAATACATATTTTGTTGGAAAGCGAGAGAAAAAGTAGATATTGGAAGTCAGCGCTGACTGAAAACCAGTGACTACAACTGGCATCAAATATCCACTATTTTGATTTCACTTTGTGATTCTAAACAAACCTTGGTAATTCATAGTCTATGAAGATACGATGGTTTGGAAACTCACAGAAGTCATTTCGTTATGTTTTTGTCGAGTTTATGTTAATTTATGCACGGTCACGGAGACTGAGCTCATTGTATTCTCGTATAATGAAGTAATCTTCCAATAGGGATAGATACATGTATTTAATGTAGTTGAGACAAAGGATTTGTGCACGGCGAGGCCCAGTTCAACATCAAACAGAAATCTTCTATTTTGTGGCTTTGAAGACCATCTGGCATCATATCTTCAATTACATGTAGTATTTAAATTTCTGCCAATATTAATTTTCATCTGAGCTAAATATTTCTATGACAATTAAATTAAGTACTTTGGTTTAACACCAGCAATAACAGTATACAGGGTAATTCCATGGTGGTGATGTCAAGAATTTTCAGAAGCTATTGGAAACAATTCTGAACTGAAATATGAAGATGTGCTTTATATGTAACATGAGTCACGTAACGTGAGTCACATGTATTATGTAGCAATCCTTCTATTGTAATCCAAAATATAAAATTTATTTGTGTTGGTAGTTTGCATGGCCTAACATATAGTCTGTTATTTGATAGACATTGTATGTTTCTCCTTCCTATGGTTCCCGAAGAAATTCAAAAGTAGCTAGGTGGGTGATACCTCATGTCACTTTGTCGTAACATGAGTCACACACCAATTCACGGCCACCAGTCTTATCACGTTATAATCAAAATTTGTATTGTGAATCAGTAGCTTAACATCATTTGTACCTGCATGCAAAAATGTGACATAAAAAATGTATTAGTTATTACATCGGATCAAAATGACTCTGACAGTTTGGTTCAGAATGTAACACGAGTCACCATGGAATTACCCATACAATAGACGAACAACTTTTCTTTTTTCAAAAGCTAGCAATGATAAACGGTCAAAAATTGTTGAACACACATTGTCAAGGACAAATTGATCACCCGGCCTACGAAGTTTAATACTCGAATGAAAAATCCTAATTACCTAACATCTACTCACGAATGTTCTTTGCCACTAATTTGCCACCTCTATAATCATTGATAAACTTGCTGACCTCTTCTTGAACTGGTTCAGCTGTTGTGGACTTGTAAAGCTCTCCCGAGGGAACATCAACGATAAACAACGATTTCTCATCTTTATTGATGCCAAGGAACTCGCAGAGAGATTCTACGACAGGATTTGCGCCAGTGGGTGCGACGAAGAAGAATAGATCTTGAGGAGTGTCTTCCTCCTTGGATACCTTTTGACATTCTTTTCCAAATGGTGTTAAAATCGCTTTCATTTGGTCAGCCGTTTCTTGGTCTATAACATAGAGAATATGGAAGCATCGATAACACGTTAAAATGGCGAGGACGAACATGAAATGAGAATTGCTAAAGGCTGGTTAGCCTGTTTCGCACAGGAGCGGATCTACCATAGGGGTTGGGGGGGGGGGGGGGGGGCTGCGCATCCCACGTAGTGGTGTCTAGCACTCCCCTAGACAAGTCCAGCACCACCCTAAAAAGATTGGCTTGACCATACAGTTTCTGTTTTTCGAAAGCGATTAGCGGAACTTCTACTGTTAGCGAGTGTCGATTTCTTGAAACGATTTAATTGATTTGTGTCTGTGAACCCGTGACAAAATACTCGGCATGCTTTATAGTTAAATATCATGGTTAAATACGTAAACATGTCGAGGTTGTTATACAGCCATCTTTTCAAATACACTGTACTGTAACTGTCCGGTCACGCGTACGTGAATGAAAGCCGATATAAACTTTATGTACAAAACATAATGTAAAACGTAACAGAACGGCGAACATGCAGATTGGGCCATCTCAAATAATGGTAATGTTGGGATGGTAGCGTTGCAGACTGCAGAGGAGACTGGGCAGTAAGGCTTCCTCATGCACTACCCCATGGAAAACCTGCACTGCACTCCTCCTTGTAGATGAGGACAGATCCGCCCTGGCAGTTTACACTATCAATTTTGCATATGTAAATTAAACACTGCAACATTGGCCCATCCCATGCAATTTTTCATCAAATGTGATTGAATTAAAGCTACACTATTAAAAACTTTGGGGAGGGAGGAATTATAACATAATCTGTTACCTCCAGCTGGAATATAAATTAGACATGCTTCATCGTTGACTTTTGGCCCCGAAACTTCATCAAAGATTTCCACTGGCTCTGGATTCCAGGGAAATTTCTGCAAGAGGAAAAAAATTAAGTCATAATAGACACAAAGTCATAATAGACACAAAAATATTATGGGTTGAAGAATTTTTGTAAATGCCGGGGGCCGATGCTTTCTGGGTGGAGGATTGAAAGTTTGCCTATATATTTGCCTACATACACCTATATATATAAATACAAGCAGAACTTCAAAATTTCCCACCTTTCCTTCCTTGTCACCACTCACTACTGCTCGACCACTCGAAGTTATCAATTTTCCATCGCCATCAAGAATGATCAACATTGGAATGCCTGGAAAAATTAGAAACGTCAATTATATGATCATCACCATTAGCTCATTTAGGTCATCCTGAATGCTCATTAAACCATGAAGAGCAAGTGCTCTCCCCCTTGACCTAAAATCATCTAGCTAGAGTAAAATAATAATTAGTAGGGTGTGTTAGGGCGGAATTAATGGTAATTAACCCAGGGAGGCAGCCAGAGGCCGCGAAAGCGTTTCGAAAGTGGAGGAGCATTGACCAAAAGGGGCATTGACCAAAAGGGGCACTTTTGTATACAACCAAGATCAAACGATATTATGTTGTTTGCGAGCCGAACAAACATTTTTTTAAATATGGAGTCTCTATAGCGTCGGAAATGGTCTTTTATTATTTACTACTGCGAAAAGGGCACTTTCATTTCTGAGCAAAAGAGGGTGTTCATTCAAGAGATACTTTTATCGTTCTTTAAATGGAGCACTTTAGCCCAGAAAAAAGGACACTTTTTCACTTTTAAAAAAGGCGAGGGGCACAATATGCCCCCATTGCCCCCCCCCCCCTGTTCCGCGGCCCCTGGTGGCAGCACTCAGTCTCATGACATTAAACGTATTACTCTGTTACCTGGCGTTAGACATAGTAAAATTATAATAACGTAAGCTGAATTAGAGCTGATTAATACTACTTAATTGGTAATTAACCCAATGAGTAGCAGCACTGTCCTTTTAAAGTTAGACAGAGTAAAATAGTCTGGCATTTGATATTGAAGTAAAATTATAATAGAGTAGGGCAGATTGAAGTAAAATAATAGAATAGTGGCAGCACTCTCCCCTTGATGAGTAAAATCATCTGGCATTAAACAGATCGAGTATAATAATAAGTTGCATTAGGACTCAGTACAACTTAATGGGTAATTTATAAACCCATTGATTGAATAACAGCATGCACTATATATAGCTCTCCTTTTAAATTTAGACAGATCGAGTAAAATAGTCTGGTGTTTGACAGAGTAAAATAATAAAGTACAGTACGTAAAGGGTTAACAGGATGCATGGGCAGATGCATGGGCATGTTTCAGATTAACCCATTGAGTGGCAGCACTCTCCTTTTGACAAGTACAATTGTCTGGCGTTAGACCAACCATCTTGTTTTTACCAGCAAACGGCTAATTTCGCCAGCACTAAGAAGACATTTGACAGTCATTCGCCAGAGGCTGTGTGTAATTCGCCGGTACTTGCAGTCATAACAAGCTGAAGTTTTTAGCCCAGTCTTTCACATGAGTTGGACAATATACCAAATACACAAAGGTTGCAAGCCTAATTGCCCACCACTTAACTCACAGTGCCCTTAAAGCTTCGACCTTCCATTCTTTGCATACTCGCTTCATTCATCAATTAATAGCCGGAGCCTCAGTAGAGCAAAACAGAATATATTGGTCATACCCAAATTATTATTAGCCAGGACTTCAAACGGATACCTGAAGGGCTGTGTTAGACAGGGTAAAATAATAAAGTATGGAGCATCCGATCAGGGCACATTGTAACTTAATGGTTAACATGGCAATTATCCCTCTCAGCTACAAACAATCTTTAAAAAAAGAACATTTACAGGATTACTAACCTTCAACCTCAAAATAATCACTCAAGTCATCCTTGATCGCATTTTCATATGGCAAGGCAAGGAAAGGCATTTCAGCAAAATATGCTTTGAATGCTTCTTCGTTTTGGTCCGAGCTTACAAATATAATCTCAAATTTCTTCTCATCTTTGTTGATTGCTTTGTACGTGTCACAAAGCATGGGTGTGAAAGCCTTGCATGGTGGACACTGAAAAAATATATCACTGTAAGAAATGTTGAACTCATATTCCTATCCTGTATCAGACTTGTAAGAACAAAGTCTGATAATGCCATCAAGCTTGTTACAATTAGTAGTAATTAACAGCTTGTTTCAAACTTGTTACAACAAGTCAACTGGGAACAAATAGCAGTGAGAACGCAACTGGTCGACAGCTTGTGAACAGAGTTGTAACAACATATTTTCAGACCAGTAACAACTTACAAGTGCATTTTTACATGTGTACTGTATTTTGATTTGCACTTAATTATTCATCTATAGGCACGGGCAGATTTACTGGGGGCCCGGGGAGTTAAGGAGGGGGTTAACCCCCCACCCCAGAATCTCTCTAACCCCTCTTATAAAGTGTTCAACCACAACAAAAGTTCGCGTCACCCCTCCTATTTTGTGTGAAAGTTTTTAACCCTAATGCCTAACCCCTAGCTGCCGAAGCTCACTCAGTGGTGCCGCTTCACTCAGTGGTGCCGCTTGCACCACCCTAACCTGAGTATCAGGCAAGTATTCTACAAATATAGCCTGATACAAACCTTAATCCAATCGTTTTCCACCCACAGCAAAGTTTATATTTAGTATCCAATCAAAATGTTGCAGGAGAAATTTAAATTTCACACAACGACAACAACAATCTAATTATATAGTTGTGATCACTATAAAATATATCAACAACAATAGTATGATCTAATTAGCACCAACCAATCAAATGACAGATTAAAAAATCTTTTGTCTCATAGACCAATCAGATTTACAATCAAAATACGGTTGTACGGCATGGACGTTTGTTAAGGTTTGTATCAGGCCTATATTTATTTATTTATTTATAGGGCTGATCTCACGTTAGCACCACCCTAAAAAATCTGCTTGCATGACCATACATTTTTTGCATTTCAAAAACATGTAAACATGTCAAGGTAATTATACAGCCATATTTTCAAATATGCCATTCAGTTAACCTTTATTAACTGTGAGTTAACCAGCCGGTTGGTGGATCCAGGGTTCAAATTAACAGATAGCGAATCGGAATTCGCTACTCATTTTGCTATACAGTAATATAAAAAAATCACTATTCAACCTGAGAAGATTTCACATGTGAAAAGGTAAAACGGACAACATTGGAAACGTTTGTTTTCAAACAATTCTTTGTGTATTTTGAGGGAAACATTCTCTCATATATGCGCTGATATTTCTGAATAGACAATAGAATTGCGCCTTTTCTAATGGCCTCAAGCTGTGTTTTGATTTAATGTTTTAATATGATAGGCTGACATTATAAAAATGTGTCAAAATCCATGTAGGATTAAGGTCAAATGTCATGCTACTTGTTCATGCAACTATAATCAGATTTGAATTTCACAATCGCTTACTATGGTGATCGCTAGATAGTATACTTCAAAATAAGGTTTCCGTTTTTATAACGTAGAAAAAACTATCCTAACACAAAACTAAACCCTAACCCTAATACTAACCCTTACCCTAACCCCAACCTAACCCTAACCTAAACCCTAACCTAACCCAAACTTATTTTAATTATTTTAAAAATTGATATAAAAATGGAAACCTTATTTTGAAGTATACTATCTAGCAATTGCCCACTTACTATGTTTAAAACCCAAATAAAAATGGAATCAATAACTTTCTAGTTTAATTCATGATGTGTAGTATGCCAGTTTCTTTTTTTGCTTCTGAGCTTAATTGCCATGTTTACTTTTATATGTACAGTATTTTGTTTGTACTTTAATTTACTCTAACTTTGAATAAATATGCCTTTTAATTTTTAAAAAATAACTCTTTTAGATATTGTGCAAATTTTTACGGGTGATATTGGAAATCGAAATGATTTAATTTTACATCATCGTTTTCTCTCTTTGTTGCCAAAAAAATAAAGACTGCTGAATCTTTATTATTATAACAGCCTTTCTGGTTGGAGATCGAATGCTCATTATCCTTTTTTACTGTACATGGTGGAAATTCGCTATTCACTTTTAAATATTTAATTCGAACACTGGGTGGATCAATCATTTGGTATAGTCATGTTGGTCATTTGGTAATCATGCAGAACTTACCCAGTGGGCAGAAAAATATATGCCAAGAACTTTGCCCTTAATATCTTCTTCAAATGATAGTTTCTTCTCATCATTGTTTGTAATGTATTCTCCCTTCTTCAAGATGTCATGCAACAACTTTGCTTTCCACGGGAAATTTTTTCCTTCAGGGTCAGTGTCCACGGCAGATCGACCATTTTTATTGATCACTTTTCCCGTCTCCCCATCCAGGAAAATCAATGTGGGAATGCCATTCACTTTGAAATGTTTGGACAGTTTACCCTTAACAACAAAAATATTCATTGCTTTAGTAAAAATGTCAGCATTATTGCTCTGGTACGTATTATTTTGTGCAAGAGGTATCAAGATCCATATGTACGTTCCACATTTTTAAAGAATTACCCAATCATGTGTTTGCAAGATCTCATGCATCCTGATGCACCAGCCCTGGCTACTTTAACCCACTGAATGGCACTGAGGCTTTAAAATATCTTTTACAGGGCTGTCTAACAAAATGTCCGATGACGTTGAGTTTGGGTCGGACATATGTCCGATGACCTTCAGTTCAGTTTTGACTCGGAAATAAGTCTGAATGACACAAATAAATATCAGCACAATGTATTAATTCTGAACGGTAAATGTTGTGAAGATATTAAATAATATATATTGTTTCTTTCATACTTATTTCCACGCCAAAATTAACATGCTTTCCGGAAAAGCAGTATTAAAACAGACTTGACAACTTAAGCCCATCTTCCACTTCACCATTTCGCTTGCCGCCCAGCGCTCAACTACGTTAAAACAACATTAAATGTTCCAGTTCTGACCTTTTATACAATAGTATACTCTGATTTTCCATTTAACATACAAGCCTCTATTCCTAGGCTAGGGTACATTTTGATTTACGTTGGACAAAGCTACAGTTCGGTCGGACACAAATACACTTGAGTCGGACAAACAATAAACTTCAGTTTTACTTAGGTCGGACAGAATGTCCGGTGGCTTCCTCTCTACATCAGACAATTTCATGAATGGGTCGGACAATGTCCGTGACCGACTGATATTTTAAGGCCTGCTGGCAGCACTCTCCCCCTGACGAGTAAAATTGTCTGGCATTTGGACACAGTAAACTAATAAAGTAGGGCGCATGCATTGCCACTAAGGGTTAACATGCAGGGTGTGCATGTGGGCAGAATAGTATGATTAACCCATCGAGTGGCAGCACTCTCCCGGCCACTGGCAAGTAAACTCGTCTGACGTTAAACAGCTATAGTCAGTGAGTAAAATAGTCTGGCGTTAGACAGAGTAAAATAATAAAGTAGGGCGCATTGCCACTAAAGAGTTAATTACATGTTGTCATAGCCAGCTGTTAAGATGCAATATGTCAACTGTCTAGTTAGTTAATTATTGTCAGTGTTATTTTATTCTGCCTAATGCAGCCTGTGCAGGCCTTTATACTTACCATACTTATAGTATAAAGGTCTGTGACAATCTGGCTAATTTAACTCATCAAAGGAAAACCTTTACTTAATAACAAATTTTAATTCCGGGATACATTTCATCATTGGCACTTAACCCATTGAGCAACAATGCGCTCAAATTTATCATTTTACTTTGTCTAATCCCAGACGATTTTATTCGTCAAGAGGATAGTATAAATCAGGCATTATGCTGTAATTGTAGGGTCTGGCTGGCTTGCCCATTTAGCCGACAGCCTGGTAAGCGAAACCTCGCCATGTAGTTAATTATTTCCATAGTAAAAACTATTTTCAGTTTAATATGATTGGATAACCTGTGGTTGTCCCGGTTCCCATGATCTCGCTTGAAAGAGCCGAGATCTGGCTTAGTGCATGGGATGAAAATTTCTCCATATAAACATTCACTACACTTAATTACCAGGCTGCCGAGATGAAAGTTATAGAGAATAATACAGAAATATGGCTTCATGTCGGCACCCATTATACTGCGTTCCTTAATATATAGCCAGTGCACTTACGAGAGGCATTCACCTGAAAATATTCAAAATGGCAGACATTCAGGAGGGGGGAGGGGGGCGGTGAATGCCTCTGGGAACATGACGAGTGCATTTTGATGACAACCATTGCGAATCATGGTGTGGCAGAGATTACTTTTTTTGGCTGAGTCAGACTTCTACAGTCTCTACGACAGTGTCAAAACAACAAAATTGTCCTGGCAAGCGGGATGAAATTTTCTCAAATAAAAGCTAGACAAGACAAATTCATCCTACTTACAGGATTATATTGCTAAGCAGGCCAGCCCAGCTGCTTGCATATGAAGAGCCTAATAAGGCGCTGTTACAACAAGCAACTTCTCTTGGAACTTGTCTCGCAATGTTAAGAAAAACAATTTCGGCATTGCATTGCAAGGGAATGTCACACCAAGCAATATGTTCCATGCAACTTGCAATAATCAATATTAAAAATAGTATAAAAACCCGTGAGTGCTAACGTTTGGCACCAGATTGACAGTCAAGCAACTTGTGTCGCAACAAAATTGCAAGACAAGTTGCGAGACAAATTGCATAGTGTAACACTGCGCCTTTACTCATTCAATCGTCAGACAGTTTTACTCATTAAGGAGAAATCGTGGGGCATTAATGTTTGGCCATATTTTTTTATAATTTTATTCATTCCTGGCACAGTCAGAACTTGCAATATTATAATAAACATAAGCTGCAGTTTCGTATAATATATTGCTAGGTTTCATTGCATTGTCTTGAAGGCATTAAATATATATCACTTTAATTTAAATGACAATCACTGTGTTAGTGATAATTTTATTCCGACACATTCAGTACAAATTTCAGTTGTGGCATAAAACTGAGTACAGTACGTGTACAATCAATTTTATACAAGATACATTTCCTGTAAAAGCACCACAAATTTTTTTACACCCAAATATTCTGTTCAAATTCACAATTTTACAAGGTCGTTTTTGCTTTATTTTAATAAAAAATAATAAAAATTGCCCAATTAGCCAGGGCAGGTGTCTTGACCGACTAAGTACTTACACGACGCGTCCCATATAGCTTTCAAATAAACGCCGAATGACAAAACCCAATTAAATATAAAAGCATATACAACTTTAAAGTACTTACACATTTCATGATATTTGCACAACGAATGGGGACAAAATTAAAACTTTAATATATATATATATATACTCGGTTTGGGAAATTAAACACAAAGTACACAAGCTGAAACTTCAAACAAAACGATGTAAAATTTTAAAATCTCGAACAGGCTGACAGTGTAGGTAGGGCGAGGATATTAAACAAGACAACTGGGGTTTGAGAGAGAACAGCCACCTGATAATTAAATACAAACAGAACTCTTGAAGTTCTGTATGAGTTCGGCTTGTATAATTTCTCAATTCGCACTGTCTTTAATAAATTTTAAAACTTTGCACACACATATTTACCTTTTCAGTTCGTTTGTTGTACGGCAAAGCGTACCATGGCATTTGACTGAGATACTCTGAAAATTCCTTTTCGGTCTTATCCGAACTCACAAATATGAGCTCAAAGTTTGCTCCGTTTTGGCTTTGCTTCACGCTGTTGTAAAACTTTGCGAGTTTTGGCGTGAAGTTTCTGCAAGGCGGACACCAGTGAGCCGAGAAATACACAGCAATAATTTTATCCTTCCCTTGGATGCTTGTCAGAGCTATCGAATCGCCGTCTTTGTTGATGAAATTGTCGCCCAAAAGATGGAAAACTTTCGACATTTTGTTAGACTTTGTAGAGTGTAAAATTATTCACCTGCAACTCACAGCTACTGTCTGACGACTGAGCAATATATTTATATCGTATTTCTAATTCAAATTAGAATATTTACTGTACTTCCGCTTTCAAAAACTTTATAGTCAATAGTCATGACCTCATTCACTGGGCATGAAATCAACGAAATTGATACTGTTAATTTGTATAAAGCATTTGAATCAGAATCGAAGAAAATTTTTGAATTTTAGAAAAAAATATGAATAATATACTGAAAGCATAGCTGAAAGCCTGACAGACAATTCCTCTTGAAAAATTGACTATTATATTACCGGTATTGAAGGCTGGCCTAACAGATGTTAATGTGTTTACTATACAGTATTGCTGTAATAAACTTCACACTAAGCTCGAAAGCAGGGATTTATACGAAAACATGCACAAACTGTGCCTGTTAAGCTTCGGATACACCTTTATTTAAGCCTGGTTCACATTGATCGTAAACATCGGTGATGCCCATTGTCGGTGGTCATTGATGCATAAAATGTTTTGTGTATTTTCTTCTTCGTTGCTCACAGACAATGGTTCGTAGAACATCGCCGATCAATGTGAACCAGGCTTAAACTGTGGATACACGAGCAATATTTTTGCTGCGATGGTTACGCAATGGGTGATAACCATATGGTGATAACAGCATCTCTATGACAGCATTGCGTTGCCGTCGTATGTCTTCATAACGCTTTTCATTGGCTGGTCAAGAAACGTGTCATTCATCAACCTTGACCTTCCTTGACCACACCTCCGAATTTTCGGCAATCATTGCTGACAACAGAGCGGACAAAAGGCATTCCTGACAATGCGAGCTGACAAATGCAAAGTTTCTCAAGGTCACCTGTGACCTCTATAGTACAACTGGAGTATGATGCAATGGTAAGGGAACATAATTAAAGGCCCACCAAAAAGTAGTCTGACTCTCCCTCGCAACCGCTCCAAACCTCGACACGAAGAGCGGCTGAGAAGTCTGCGAAGGAGACTAACCAAAAAGTTACATCACAAAAAAACTTACATACAAAAAACCAATATAGAACTGACAATGGCATGTTTGTTATATATTTATAGCGGTTGTAAAAACACTCCTCTGAAACTATAAATAATGCAATAAATAATCAATAAACGTATATACAACTGAACATCAATTTTTCGCTCGGTTTTGAGCGTTTGCTACTTGCTAGTTTGCTACGTGACATAAGAAAGTGCCCTCTTGTGAAACCATAGTTAATATAGTGAAACGCAGCGTGTTTTCGCCGCAACCCTTCATCACGCGCTGCGTTTGTAAACAAGTACTTGGACAAGTACTTGACCCGAACCTGCGTCGGCACACTAAAACTCTCGTATTAATATGTTTTAGTAAAGTTTAATAAATGAAACAAAGTCCCACTTTTTATACTTAAAACTCTCGCTGTTCGTTGTTTCTCCCGCAATTCAGGCCGCCGCCAGTGGTGCAACGGAGGAACAGGGCAGGGCCTGTTTATATGGCAGCAGCCGGGCTGGCCAGCCCGGTAAGCGGGATGAATTTCTCTTGTGTTTATTTCATCCCACTTGCCGGGACAATTTTGTTACATTGTATTGTTTTGACAGCTGTTAAAAATAGCTTGCGGCGGTATCTTTCAACTTTCATCCCGGCAACCGGGCTAGCCCGCTTCCGAGTGTTTATATGGAGAAATTTCCATCCCGGTAAGCGAGATCTCGCCTCTTTCAAGCGAGATCTCGGCAACCGGGTCAACCCGCTTGTCCATATAAACGCACCATAATTCTTACTTTAAAAAATAACTACACAACGAGATCCCTGGGTACGAGGTTGTTGGCATAAAGTTTATAATCTCTATGGTTGTGGGGGCCCTGTTCACTGTTGTCAGTGTTCTCATTGTTTGACTGAGATATCATATTAATATTGAATATTTGTAGAATGTTCTGGAAAATACGTGTCTATAGCAAAAACAGTCTCCAGCACATGTAACAGCTAATAAGAATAACTTTTGTTTTATTTAAGATGGAATAACAAAGTCAGCTACCGTTGTCGATGGAGGTTTTATTATTTAGCATTATTAATTTTGCATTTTCCCATTGATTCTTCACCTGCATTTTTTACGTTTTCTAATTTTCTGGTTGATAGGCCGTGGCTGATGGGGGCCACTAACTGCATGTCGGGGGCCCTTAGTTTTTCCAATTAATGAGCGTTACGACGCCACTGCCGCCCGCGAACAGTCCCATTGTCCACAGTAATTAACCCAATACATCTATAATATGTTCGTTCAGCGTTTCTAATTTAGTTTTCTGTTTCCTGTCAGAGGTTTCATGTATAAGGGAAATTACAAATAAATATGATTTTCGGTGTACTTGCTTCATTCTCGGATATTTTGCCTCCAGTAAAAGCTGCTGCTGGATATGTGATGAACTTTATACTGCTAATTTTGCTTAGGTGGAAAACGCGAATATGCGCTCATGAAATTCACTGAAGAGGGTGGGAAAGGGGGGGTATGGATCACGTTTCACAACGAAAAAATAAGCCGTTTCACGATTCACGTGTCTTAAAAAAGCAATTTCACAGAAAAATAGATTCTCATAAAATAATATAATAATAATAATAGGTTTATTAAGACTATGTTTAATGCATGGTACAGTATCAACAGTTTAAGTTCTCTCATTTCTCTACCGGTCAGTTAAAAACTACATCATAACTTACAAGTTTGAGTGCGTCTCCCCAGCGCCAGGAACCTTGCCCTCAGCGCCATGAACCTTGTCCTCACCGCCAGGAACCTTGTCCTCACCGCCAGGAACCTTGTCCTCACCGCCAGGAACATTGTCCTCAGCGCCAGAAACATTGTCCTCACCGCCAGGAACCTTGTCCTCACCGACAGGAACCTTGTCCTCACCGCCAGGAACTTTGTCCTCACCGCCAGGAAACTTGTCCTCACCGCCAGGAACCTTGTCCTCAGCGCCAGGAGCCTTGTCCTCACCGCCAGGAACCTTGCCTCACCACCATGAACCTTGTCCTCACCGCCAGGAACCTTGTCCTCACCGCCAAGAACATTGCTCTCACCCCAAGGAACCTTGTCCTCACCCCAAGGAACCTTGTCCTCAACTCCAGGAACCTTGTCCTCAACTCCAGGAACCTTGTCCTCAGCGCCAGGAACATTGTCCTCACCGCCAGAAACATTGTCCTCATCGCCAGGAACATTGTCCTCACCGCCAGAAACATTGTCCTCATCGCCAGGAACATTGTCCTCACCGCCAGGAACCTTGTCCTCACCGCCAGGAACCTTGTCCTCACCGCCAGGAACTTTGTCCTCACCTCCAGGAACCTTATCCTCACCGCCAGGAACCTCGTCGTCACAGCCAGGAACCTTGTCCTCACCGCCAGGAACCTTTTCCTCACCACCAGGAACCTTGTCCTCACCGCCAGGAACCTTGTCCTCACCGCCAGGAACCTTGTCCTCACCGCCATGAACCTTGTCCTCACAGCCTGAAAACTTGTCCTCACCGTCAGCAGCCTTGACCTCATAGCCAAGAACGTTGTCCTCACCGCCAGGAACCTTTTCCTCACCGCCTGCAACCTTGTCCTCACCGCCAGGAACCTTGTTCTCATCGCTAGGAACATTGTCCTCACCGCCAGGAACCTTGTCCTCACCGCTAGAAACCTTGTCCTCAGCGTCTGCAACCTTGTGCTCACCGCCAGGAACCTTGACCTCACCGCCAGGAACATTGACCTCACCGCCAGTAACCTTGTCCTCAGCGCCAGGAACATTGTTCTCACCGCCAGTAACCTTGTTCTGACCGCCAGGAACCTTGTTCTCACAGCCAGAAACCTTGTCCTCACCGTCAGAAACCCTGTCCTCACCGTCAGAAACCTTGTCCTCACTGCCAAGAACCTTGTCCTCACCGCCAGGAACCTTGTCCTCACCGCCAGGAACATTCTCCTCACCGCCAGGAACCTTGTCCTCTCCGCCAGGAATCTTGTCCTCACCGCCAGGAACCTTGTCCTCACCGCCAGTAACCTTGTCCTCACCGCCAGGAACATTGTCCTCACCGCCAGTAACCTTGCCCTCACCGCCAGGAATATTGTCCTCACCGCCAGTAACATTGTCCTTACCGCCAGGAACCTTTTCCTCACCGCCAGAAACATTGTCCTCACCGCCAGGAACATTGTCCTCACAGCCAGAAACCTTGTCCTCACCGTCGGAAACCTTGTCCTCACAGTCAGAAACCTTGTCCTCACCGCCAGGAACCTTTTCCTCACCGCCTGCAACCTTGTCCGCACCGATAGGAACCTTGTCCTCACCGCTAGAAATTTTGTACTCAGCGTCTGCAACCTTGTGCTCACCGCCAGGAACCTTGACCTAACCGCCAGAAACCTTGTCCTCACCGCCAGGAAGCTTGCCCTCACCGCCAGGAACCTTGTCCTCACCGCCAGGAACCCTGTCCTCACCGCCAGGGATCTTGTTCTCACCGCCAGGAAGCTTGACCTCATCGCTAGGAACCTTGTCCTCACCGTCAGGAACCTTGTCCTCACCGCTAGAAACCTTGTACTCAGCGTCTGCAACCTTGTGCTCACCGCCAGGAGCCTTGACCTAACCGCCAGAAACCTTGTCCTCACCGCCAGGAAGCTTGCCCTCACCGCCAGGAACCTTGTCCTCACCGCCAGGAACCCTGTCCTCACCGCCAGGGATCTTGTTCTCACCGCCAGGAAGCTTGACCTCATCGCCAGGAACCTTGTCGTCACCTCCAGCAACCTTGTCGTCACCGCGAAAAACCTTGTCCTGACCGGCAGGAACCTTGTCCTCATCGCCACGAACCTTGTCCTGACCGCCAGCAGCCTTCTCTTCACCGCCAAGAACCTTGTCGTCACCGCCAAGAACCTTGTCCTCACAGCCTGAAAACTTGTCCTCACCGTCAGCAACCTTGTCCTCATCGCCAGGAACCTTGTCCTCACCGCCAGCAGCCTTCTCTTCACCGCCAAGAACCTTGTCGTCACCGCCAAGAACCTTGTCCTCACCGCCAAGAACCTTGTCCTCACCGCCACGAACCTTGTCCTCACCGCCAGGAACCTTGTCCTCATAGCCTGAAACCGAGTCCCTGAAACCTTGTTCTCACCGTCAGCAACCTTATCCTCAAAGCCAAGAACGTTGTCCTCACCGCCAGGAACCTTGTCCTCACCGCCAGGAACCTTGTCCTCACCGCCAATAACCTTGTTCTCACCGCCAGGAACCTTGTCCTCACCGCTAGAAACCTTGTCTTCACCGTCTGAAACCTTGTCCTCACCGCCAGGAACCTTGTCCTTACCGGCAGGAACCTTGTCTTCACCGTCAGGATCCTTGTCCCCACCGCCAAGAACCTTGTCGCCACCGCCAGGAACCTTGTCCTCATAGCCTGAAACCGAGTCCCTGAAACCTTGTTCTCACCGTCAGCAACCTTATCCTCACAGCCAAGAACGTTGTCCTCACCGCCAGGAACCTTGTCCTCACCGCCAGGAACCTTGTCCTCACCGCCAATAACCTTGTTCTCACCGCCAGGAACCTTGTCCTCACCGCTAGAAACCTTGTCCTCACCGTCTGAAACCTTGTCCTCACCGCCAGGAACCTTGTCCTTACCGGCAGGAACCTTGTCTTCACCGTCAGGATCCTTGTCCCCACCGCCAAGAACCTTGTCCTCACCGCCAAGAACCTTGTGCTCAACGTCAGGAACCTTGTCCTCACCGCCAAGAACCTTGTCTTCACCGCCAGTAACCTTGTCCTCACCGCCAGGAACATTGTTCTCACCGCCAGTAACCTTGTCCTCACCGCCAGGAACATTGTTCTCACCGCCATTAACCTTCTTCTCACCGCCAGGAACCTTGTTCTCACAGCCAGAAACCTTGTCCTCACCGTCAGGACCCTTGTCCTCACCCACCGCCAGGAACTTTGTCCTCACCTTCAGGAACCTTGTCCGCACCGCCAGGACCTTGTCCTCACCTCCAGGATCCTTGTCCTCACCGGCAGCAACCTTGTCGTCACCGCCAGTATCCTTTTCCTCACCGCCAGGAACCTTGTCGTCACCGCCAGTACCGTTCTCGTCACCGCCAGGAACATTGTCCTCACCGCCAGTAACCTTCGCCTCACCACCACCAGTAACCTTTTCCTGATCGCCAGGAACCTTGTCCTCACCGGCAGGAACCTTGTCGTCACCGCCAGTATCCTTCTCGTCACCGCCAGGAACATTGTCCTCACCGCCAGGAACATTGTCCTCACAGCCAGAAACCTTTTCCACACCGTCAGAAACCTTGTCCTCACCGTCAGAAACCTTGTCCTCACCGCCAGGAACCTTGTCGTCCCAGCCAGCAACCTTGTCCTCACCGCCAAGAACCTTGTCCTCACCGCCAGGAACCTTTTCCTCACCGCCTGCAACCTTGTCCTCACCGCCAGGAACCTTGTCCTCATCGCTAGGAACATTGTCCTCACCGCCAGGAACCTTGTCCTCACCGCTAGAAACCTTGACCTCAGCGTCTGCAACCTTGTGCTCACCGTCAGGAACCTTGACCTCACCGCCAGGAACATTGTCCTCACCGCCAGTAACCTTGTCCTCAGCGCCAGGAACATTGTTCTCACCGCCAGTAACCTTGTTCTGACCGCCAGGAACGTTGTTCTCACAGCCAGAAACCTTGTGCTCACCGTCAGAAACCCTGTCCTCACCGTCAGAAACCTTGTCCTCACCGCCAGGAACCTTGTCGTCACCGCCAGGAACCTTGTCCTCACTGCCAAGAACCTTGTCCTCACCGCCAGGAACATTGTCCTCACCGCCAGTAACCTTGCCCTCACCGCCAGGGAATATTGTCCTCACCGGCAGTAACATTGTCCTTACCGCCAGGAACCTCTTCCTCACCGCCAGGAACATTGTCCTCACCGCCAGGAACAGTGTCCTCACAGCCAGAAACCTTGTCCTCACCGTCAGAAACCTTGTCCTGACCGTCAGAAACCTTGTCCTCATCGCCAGGAACCTTGTCGTCACAGCCAGCAACCTTGTCCTCACCACCAAGAACCTTGACCTCACCGACAGGAACCTTTTCCTCGCCGCCTGCAACTTTGTCCTCACCGCCAGGAACCTTGTCCTCACCGCTAGAAACCTTGTCCTCAGCGTCTGCAACCTTGTGCTCACCGCCAGGAACCTTGACCTAACCGCCAGGAACCTTGTCCTCACCGCCAAGAAGCTTGTCCTCACCGCCAGGAACCTTGTCGTCACCGTCAGGAACCCTGTCCTCACCGCCAGGAACCTTGTTCTCACCGGCAGGAAGCTTGAGCTCATCGCCAGGAACCTTGTCTTCACCGTCAGGAACCTTGTCCTCACCGATACGAACCTTGTCGTCACCGCTGTAATATATTCAGTATATATGCATGCTAATTAGATTCATGTATATAAGGGTTGTTTTGTAACATAATAAACAGACTAATAACATAACATGGTGTCAGGATGGAGCCGTTTATGAAGCCTCCTTTAGAGATGAACTTTTCAACAACTGAACAGTTGTCGTTATCCGAAAGATGGAGACGATGGAAGGAAACTATGCAGTTATATCTTGGATTAAACATGTCTAAAGCCAGCGAGAAAGAACAATGTGCGGCGTTCCGGTATGTGATCGGACAAGACGGGCGAGACATTTATAACACAATGAAGTTTACAGAGGCTCAAACGGACAAAATCGACGTGTTATTCGCGAAGTTTGACGAGTATTGTGAACCCAGAAGAAACACGATTATGGAAAGATGCAAGTTTAATACGCGAGTGCAAAGAGACGACGAAACAGCCGATCAGTACGTAACTGAACTTAAATTGCTCGCTAAGAATTGCAACTTCGGGTCTCTTGAGGACGAGTTGATTAGGGACCGCGTTGTTTACGGAATAAAATCGGAGCGTGTGAGAGAACGGTTATTGCGAGAACGAAAGTTAACGTTAGATAAAGCGTTAGAAGTATGTCAAATAAACGAACAGTCTGAGGAACAACTAAAAGTACTAAACGATGTTCAGAGCGTCAAGGCCATAGGAAAATATAACAAATCAGGAAATTATCGTAGCAAATTAGATGCAAATCGAAGGCGTGATTTCAAGCATAACGGCGGCAACAAACAAGAACAAGTATCGTGTTGCGGAAAGTGCGGAAAGTCTCATCCTGCGAAAGAATGCCCAGCTTTTGGTAAGAAATGTTTTAAGTGTGACAAAAAGAATCATTTCGCTAAATTCTGCAAGTCGAAGAAAATACATGCAGTAGACAAAGCGAGTACAGATGACGAACCGTTGTTTATTGGAGCGGTTAATTCAATTCATAACGAAGAGAATGTTTTCAAAACTTTATCAATCGAGGGAAATGAGATCAAGTTCAAGATTGATACGGGATCACAAGCCAATATAATACCCCTACCTACATTCGAGAAGATGAAGCTCAAACAAACCCGGTTAGAAAGACCAACAGCAAAGTTAACAAGTTACACTGGCGATTATCTACCGGTCGTCGGAGAATGCAATCTGAAATGTAACAACAAGACATTGAAATTTTTCGTGGTAAAAACTGGACAAGTTCCCATCATTGGTTTGAAAGCTTCTCAAGAACTGAATCTGATCAAAATCATCATGAATGTGAACAATGTGATTGGTCAATCAGCAGAAACCATTCATGAGAAATTTCCTAAAGTATTTCAAGGTTTGGGATGCCTAAAGAATCCATACCACATCGAAGTCGACCCTACGATTACACCTGTCGTCAGTCCTTTAAGAAGTACACCAGTTGCGCTCAGAGAGAGGCTGAGGTCTTCGCTAGATGATATGGAAGAAAAGGGAGTCGTGGAGAAAGTCGATGGTCCAACCGAGTGGGTGAATTCGACAGTGATTATAGAGAAGCCAAATAGTGACAAACTACGAATTTGTCTTGATCCGAGACCACTAAATGAAGCTATCAAGCGAGAACATTTCATGATGCCAGCAATAGAGGAAATCACGACGCGTGTGGCCGGAGCCAGAGTATTCTCCAAACTGGACGCAAATCATGGCTATTGAGTGGGTGAATTCGACAGTGATTATGGAGAAGCCAAACAGTGACAAACTACGAATTTGTCTTGATCCAAGACCACTCAATGAAGCTATCAAGCGAGAACACTTCAAGATGCCAACAATAGAGGAAATCACGTCGACGCGTGTGGCCGGAGCCAGAGTATTCTCCAAACTGGACGCAAATCATGGCTATTGGCAAATACCACTAGATGAAGAGAGCCGATTGCTGACCACATTCAACACACCATTTGGTCGTTACTGTTATAAAAGGATGCCATTTGGAATCAAGTCTGCGCAAGAAGTATTCCAGAAACGAATGTGTCAATCCTTTGGAGATCTCGAGGGCGTGGAAACAGATGTGGATGATATTTTGGTTTGGGGAGCCACAGTCGAAGAGCACGACGAACGTCTGATGAATACCCTACAACGATGTGAAGAGATCAACCTCACTCTCAACAAAGAGAAATGCGAGTTTCGAGTGAAAGAAGTCACTTATATCGGTCACAAGTTAACCCGAGAAGGTGTGAAACCGGATGAGCAGAAGGTTAAAGCCATTAAGCAGATGCCCCCTCCCGAAGATAAGAAAGGAGCTGAACGATTGCTTGGTACAGTGAACTATCTAGCAAAGTTTATACCTAACATGTCCACGATAATGCAGCCGATTAGAGAGGTTATGAAAAGTGGCGTGGAGTTTCAATGGGGAGGTGCACAGGAGAAAGCGTTCCAAGAAGTAAAAGAAATACTAACAAAGGCGCCAGTTCTTGCATACTATGATGTGAAGAAACCTGTGACGGTGACGTGTGATGCTTCAAAGAGCGGTTTGGGAGCTGCGTTACTTCAAGATGACAAACCAGTCGCGTTTGCTTCGAGAGCCCTGACAGATGCGGAAACTCGGTCTGCGCAGATCGAAAAAGAACTATTGGCAGTTGTTTTTGCGTTCGAGAAGTTCAACCAGTACACATATGCCAAAGCTGTAGAAGTTGAAACTGATCATAAACCATTGGTCTCAATTGTGAAGAAGTCGTTAACGTCAGCGCCACCTCGTCTGCAGAGAATGCTATTACGGTTGCAACGGTACGACTTTACATTGAAATACAGACCTGGGAAAGAAATGATCATCGCGGATACACTTTCTCGAGCTTACCTTACCGATGATGATGTGGACAGTAGCAAGATGAACGAAGAGTTAGAATGTTACGTGCACACGGTAACCAGCAGAATGCCAGTATCCGAAGAACGACTGGAACAGATCAAGAAAGAAACAGCGATTGACCAGACCATGAAGACCCTGTTCTCAACAATCCGAAGGGGATGGCCAGAGACAAGAAAACAAACACCTTGCGAAATCCAGGACTACTGGAATTATCGAGCTTTCAGAAGTAGATGGAATCTTGTTGAAGCAAGACAAGATTATCATACCCCTCAGTATGAGAGGAAAGATGCTAGAAAGAATACACGAGAGTCACATGGGCATAGAGAAATCCAAACGACGAGCAAGGGACATTATGTTTTGGCCAAGAATGAATGAGCAAATTGAAGCCGTTGTATCCAAATGCCAAACCTGCCAAGAATACCAGGTGTCGAATCCCAAAGAACCCATGGTGCAAGGAACAATACCATCGAGACCTTGGGAAATGGTCGCAACTGATTTGTTTCAGTGGGAACAGAACAACTATCTGGTCGTGGCAGATTATTATTCGCGTTATATTGAAGTAGTCAAGTTGGAAAACACCACCAGCAGAACTGTTGTGAATCATATGAAGTCCATATTTGCAAGACATGGAATTCCATCAGTCGTAAGAAGTGACAACGGTCCTCAGTACACTGCCAGGGAGTACAAGCAGTTCGCACAAAAGTGGAATTTCGAGCACCAGACTTCAAGTCCATATTATCCGAAATCAAACGGTTTGGCTGAGAAAGCAGTTCAAATTGTGAAACGTTTGCTATCGAAAGCAAAACAAGATGGAAAAGATCCGTACCTAAGTTTGTTGGAGTATCGCAACACACCCATTGGTAACGTAGCTTCACCAGCACAACTATTGATGAGCCGACGTTTGCGTTCGCACTTACCAACTACTCCAAATCAACTTCAGCCAAAAGTTGTTGATCCTGAGAGAATGAAAGAAAAGTTCGAAGAAAAACAAAGAAAGCAAAAACGATATTATGACAGAGGGTCCACGGAGCTTCCGGCAGTGCAAGAAGGAGAAGCAGTACGAGTCCAAGTACAGAATAAGTGGAAACCAGCAGTGATCAAAGAGAAACTGAAAACACCGAGATCGTACATCATTCAAACACCCAATGGTCAACGATTTAGAAGAAACAGAAATCATATAAGAAAGCAGAAGTATGGTGTTCAGATATCAAGACAGTGGGAACCAATTGAAGATTTCCAGTCTGATGGTGCCAGAGAAGTTCGTGAGGAACAAGTCTCAGAGCCAAGTACTGGACAATATTATAAAACTAGAAGCGGACGATTGAGTAAGCCACCTGAGAGATATCAAGCATGTTAATTTAGTTAATTAAGGTTATCATGAACATATTATTTACGAGACATTTAGATTTAGATTGACTATTAAGTTAAATATATAATGGTTATATATAATGAACATTAGTCGTGAACTAGTATTATTAAGTATTATCATCGAACAGTAATAAACACTTAGTTTAATTAGAGACCTTATACAATTTTAAATAACTTTAAAAAAAAAAGAAAAAGAAAAAGAGAATTGTAATATATTCAGTATATATGCATGCTAATTAGATTCATGTATATAAGGGTTGTTTTGTAACATAATAAACAGACTAATAACATAACAACCGCCAGGAACCTTGTCCTCACAGCCAAAAACCTTCTCCTGAACGCCAGGAACCTTGTCCTCACCGCCAGGAACCTTGTCCTCACCGCCAGGAACCTTGTCCTCACCGCCAGGAAGCTTGTCCTCACCGTCAGCAACCTTGTCCTCACCGTCAGCAACCTTGTCCTCATAGCCAAGAACGTTGTCCTCATCGCCAGGAACCTTGTCTTCACCGCCAGCAGCCTTGTCTTCACCGCCAAGAACCTTGTCGTCACCGCCAAGAACCTTGTCCTCACCGCCAAGAACCTTGTCCTCACCGCCAGGAACCTTCTCCTCATAGCCTGAAACCGAGTCCCTGAAACCTTGTCCTCACCGTCAGCAACCTTATCCTCACAGCCAAGAACGTTGTCCTCACCTCCAGGAACCTTGTCCTCACCGCCAGGAACCTTGTCCTCAC